AAAGAAGCATAGATACAAAAGGCAACTGTAAAAGGCGGCTCCATCCAGAAAACACACAACCGAACAGGCAAGCTCCGAGCCAGCTCCCATGTCAGAGGATGAAGAGAGCACATCCAGTTAGTCACGGTCAGAGAAACTGGACTACACTGGAAAACAGACCAAGCTCCAACAATTTTTCACTTCAAGAGAACAGCTGAGGAGTTAGCAGGTGGCGCAGCGGTTAGCGTACACAACCCATATACGGAGGGCTAAGTCCTGAGGAGTCCTGACCCGGGTTCGAATCGGACTTGTGGTCTTTGCCACTTGTATCTTCCCCCTTTCCTGCCCACTAGTGCTATAAAAACTAAAAAAAAAAGATCAGCTGAGAAAAAAACTGATTTGAGAATGGCCCTAAATATGATGTCAGACAGTCTTTTGAAATCTACGATTCCTGTTGGCTAAAATATGTTTATGTAAAAGTAACTTTCTGACGTTCAGTTCAGTTCAGTTTATCTCTATAGCACCAATTCACAACATATATCATCTGCAGACACTTTACAGAGAATTCAACCAGAGCATACAGTCAGATCATTTTCTACCCAAGCAAAAGGCTTCAATTACCGTTTTTTTGGGGGGTAAAAATATCACAATCACTTTAGTCAGGGAAGTTTGTATTTGCTGTTGCCTGTTCTAGTTCCTCTAAAGTATTTTTTATTATAAATTAACTGATGATGTAATTGGAGGGATGGAAACCAAAGACTTGGTTCTGGTTTTATTTTTATGCTTTCTTTAGTAGATATAGCATAAAAAAGCCTGACCAGATACACTCAGCTGACTGTAAAAAAGCTGTTTTCACATCAGTTTGACCTTTGAACTTTGTGTGTAGGTCAAAACAGAAGATGGAGAGATCTCAGCTGATCACGTCATCTCTGCTCTACCAGCCAAAGGCAAGTGGCTTTTTATTGGGCAACATTTCAGTTCTCCTTGAAGAGCTGTTAACAAGCTCATCTTCAGGAACGCCGGCCTGATAAATCCTCATGATCAGAGATCAAACACCTTCTGCTGCGCTTTGAAACACTGAACACAAAGATCCAGGAGGAAATGATCAAAGACACTAAAGCTGCTGTTCTGTCTTTCTGTCCTTGCAGCCCTTTCCTGCGTCCTCCCCCCGTCCTGCCGGAGTCTTACCCAGCAGCTGCAGGACATCTCAGCAGTGACGGTGGCTGTGGTCAGTCTGGAGTATGACGGCTCCATCCTGCCTGTAACGGTGAGGGTCTCACACAGCTGGCCTAAATGAATGATCAACAGGCCTCTGCATGAGTGATGCAATCGCATGAAGCATCCGATTAGTTCACATCAACAGATACAGGAGCTATGACATCATGATATGGTCCCTCTCAGGCTGTGGTTTTACAAAGTTTTTTTCCAATTCACCAAGATAGTTCATGGGTTGGATGTTTTGAAAGGAGATTTAAAGTTCCCTGAGTTCCCCCAACCCGCCAGCGACCCAGAGGCGACTTTTGAACTTTCAGCGCATGTACATATAAGTATTTCAATATCAACATAGCATGTCCACACATCTACAGAAAGCTCTCGTTCTCCTCTTTCCAACGATACCAAGCATTCTGCACATTTTAACCAGAGAAAAGTGAGAGATAAACAAAAGTCATAAAGTTTGTGTTCCTACCTTTTAGTTGTTCCAAAGGGGAAATTTTCAATATTTCTCTCTGAGTTTGATCTATTTTTGCTTGAAACAGCCAGAAAAAAGATAATCTGGTAAAGTGATGGTTCTGAATGTCGTATAAAATCCACTAAGGCACGAATATTGCAGGATAACTCTCATCTCCAGGAAAAAAAAAAAAGCCACCACATTTAGTTATTTTCACTCAGAATCCCTGCTGCAAGAAGCATGTCACTACCTGATCTGTCATTCGCCATCAGCTCACTTGGGAATCCAGAGATGCATCTGGGTCACCCTCGATTTTATTTGGCTAAAAAGACTGAAATGACCTTTTCCCTCCCCAAAAATAGTAAGCGTAATAAAATATAATGTGTTAAAAGTTGATAATGTATTTTCTGAAGAAATAAATAACTTTTCGGCTTTGGTTTTAAATATAAATCTAGTTTTAGGTTTTCCTTCCGTGTTAAGATTATGGTATATAGGGCGTAGTCTTAAGAAAGAAACAAGTAAACTGCAGATAAACATGGTTTAATCAGATTTTGTCAGAGCATGTCTGATGATGACTTCAGAGAAGCTGTTTAACGAAGAAAATCAAAACGGTCTCAAAAAGTTATAAAACATTTTTTAAAGTTGTGTATTGGCATTCTTTAGAATGTTAAAGATAGAAGTAAGTAATTTTAGTACCATAATTATATTATTTATGGACATTTATGTATATTTGGATCGTGCTTCTGGGACGGATCAGGTAGTGACATGCATTCAATGCGACCTCAGGTTCAAACAGGAAGTCCTGGCTTGATTGACACTTTGTTAGACCAGTTACAGGACGATGGGGGCAGGATGGAACAGCAGAAAGCCAATCGGCTTCAATAATGCTTAAAAGTTTTCACTTCCTTGTCAGACCTGCTATTCCAACCAGTAAAAACTCAGCTCCATGGGAGCGACATCAATCAATGTGAACAGCTGTTTACAATGATAAATAACCTGTACATTATCATTATTGTAACATTTTAATTAAGTACAACATTTTAGACTTTGACCGTCATCAGATGTTTCTGGATGCATGCCTTGTTTTTAAAGTTATAATGGACTTGCTCCTCCTCCTCTAACAGATTTTATAAGCAAAAAAAACATTACTAGATTAAACACTAGAGCTTTAACCAGAGGAGACTGTAATGTTCAGCGGCGTAGGACCAAATTTGGCCAAATGGTTGCATCCTTCAGAGGATCACAGTTATGGAACACTCTGCCAGCTCATGTTAGGGGCTGTGGAACCTACATATTCTCCTTGAAACATTGGTTGAAAACTAACCAGACATGCGTTCACAGGTAAACTGATCTGTTTCCATGGGCCTGTTAACCTCATTTTATTGTTAACCTAATTTTATTGTGATTTTATGTTATTGGCATCTGATCTGTTTGTGTCCACTCTGTTCTCTCCTGTAGCATCTTGTTTAATGTTCAGGTTTTTTTTACCTGCCTTAGGACAGCGGATGCACATTAGCTGTTGTGCTAATTCTGGCATATTTACATTGATGCTTAATGCTGACATGTTGATTAATGTGCATTGTCCTAATTCATATAAATAAATAAAATAGATAAATAAAAAATAAATAAATGCTTTATATGGGCGGAACCTAAAATTTCAAAGATAACTCAAGATGACTCTCTACAGATTTTGTATTCAGATTTTTTGCCTTTTATATAATTTTTTTCAATTAAAAAGTGTGTTTGAAAGATTGACAGTTTAGTATGATTCCTCTAAGTGTTCTCTTTCCAAAGACGTCTCACTGATGTTTCTATGTTGGAGTATGCAGCCGTGGTGGCATGGCCTAGTGCTATACTATAGAATAGAAATATTATTTTTGTAGATTTTCCAATCAGATTTGGAAGGCTGCTTGCCTGAGTTATAAGACAGCGTTTCTGTTGGGTCAAATAGTTCATTCCTGCCTGCAGGAATTAAATTCTTTAATTATTTTTTAAATAGAAAATCAAGGCGAGCATTGTTTTTTTTACAGTCAGAGCTGTTTTATGAAGCATGATACCAAATACACACAGTAAATCAGAATGTACAAGGGAAACCTAGAGAGTGTATTATTTCATGGAGCCCAGAACATTATTTATCCTCCATATGGCTCAAGAGCTATAAAAGTTGAATTTGGGGAGGAGTTTTTAGGCCTTTTTAGGCTAAAATCCTGGCAATGGTAAGGGGAAAATGTATTATTATTGATTTATTGTCCAAATCTTGAGAGGAATGGCCTCAAAATTGGTGTTCCGGACAAATAGGTGACCCCCCCCACACACACATTATCTGTGTCCTCATCAGTGAGATTGTGTCGTATAAAGCCCAATTCTGACCTTAAACCAATAGAACCAAAAAGAGATGCAGAGAAACTAAACTAAAAAATGGTTCATTATGATGAATTTATCAGTTTCTGATCTAAATGAGGGGTTTTACAGGAAAATGTAAACATTGCTGTTTTTTAATAACCTAATATCTCATTTTCTGAAGGTGGAGAACAAACGGATCATTATTTAGGAACTGGCTGTGCCGCATTTTCAATCCTTTGATTTGTTAAGAAATGAAAGGTATTGCAGGAGCTTTGAATGTTTTTTAATTACTTTCTTCCACATGGACTGTATCCATGCTGTTTTTCAGGGTTTCGGACACCTTATTCCTTCATGGGAAGACCCGGGTCTGCTTGGAATAGTCTACGATTCTGTGCCTTTCCCTCAGCACAACAGACCCAATGGACAGTCAACTAGACTGACGGTACAAACACGCACGTGTTCAGTCTGTAGTTTGTTAGACGTCATCTGCACTTGGAAAATGTGTTGCTCTCTTTAAGCATTTGAGCAACAGGTGGTGATTGCATTTATAAGAAAGTGAAAATCAATAAACAATTAAAGAAACTGAGCTGTATGTTGCTCTGAAGGTCTGTTTGGTGCCAACAGCCAGGGGTGGAGTTAGGAAATTTGGGGCCCTAGGTAAAGACAGGCAGAGGGCCCTAACAGACCCATTATACAGATACAGAAATTTTAAATAGAATAGACACACTGTATTTGTTCTACCTTTATTCCCTCTCTTCTTATTCCTTTTCTTGCTGTTTTACTTTCTGTTTTCTTTTGTCCCTTTTTCTTATCATATTGGAAATGTAGCTGACTTTTCATGCTGTCTCAAAAGGACTTAAAGAATTTTGAATCACTAAGCCCATTCTAACTTAGCTGATTGCTCCTTCCTGTGTTTCCAAAAAGGCCGAAGTAAATAACCCAGTCCTTCTTTTCACTGTAGACAAGCCATGATCTGCTTCTCTGTTCTCCATTTTTCATTTGGATGAAATAATAGCTGCATGAATCATTTTCCTCCTAAAATATATGCTTGAGGTTGTTACCCATTAATATGTAGAAAGGTGAAGGGGTGGTGTATATATAGGGAGATATTTAACCTTTAAACAGCTGATGGTTCAGACATCCAGAGGTTTCCCCTCAGACAGCTCCAGCTACATGTTAATATCTTCCTCTCATGTCTCCTAGGTCATGATGGGGGGCGCCTGGTTCCAGAATGTGTTTGGGGATCCAGAGGAAGTAACAACAGAGGTCTTTCTAACACGCGCCACCGAGGCGGTTCGCTGCCACCTGGGAGTCAGTGGCGCCCCCCGGTGGAGTAATGTGGTGCTTCACACGGTACATCAGGATTAACACTTTCCTAAAATATGAATCCTAAATTCTTCAACATTTATTACTATCCTTTGATGGTTTTTATTGTCTGTCTTCACAGGATTGCATACCTCAGTATTACCTCGGCCACTTTCAGAGAATAGGTGAGTGTTTCATTCAAATTATTTTGATATTTTATTGAAAAGAATGTAATAATTTGATATTTTAAATTCTTTCAGAAGTTTGAATTCTGAATGTGAGCGGAGTTTTCCTTTAAATCTGTTTGCCTTCTTCCAGATTCCATGCGTGGCTTCATTAGGACCAATAATCTGCCGCTGTCTCTGGTTGGCTCAGCATACGATGGCGTTTCTGTGAACGATGTCGTCTTCAGCGGACGGACCGCTGTAGCAGAGTTGATGGGAGGTTCAGCTGAAGCAACATGAGCAATTGATCATATTCTCATCTGGAAATGCAAACCTGGTTTATTTTTATTTTCTGAGTATAACATTCAACAATAAATATGTTTCCCTTTGCTGTTGGAAATTGTAGTTTTGTGTTTATAATAAAGTATTGACTTATATATTAAGTTTGATCTCTTTAATTTCAGTACATTTTTTTTGGGGGGGGGGGACTGATCGAGGTAAAAACTCTCTGGTTTTCACAAGATTAGGATGCAAAATAAGGAACAACACTGAGAGGTTTGTGAAACAGAGCGAGGAACTTTTCCCCCCCCAATTTCACCATCAAGTTAAGGACATGTTAACATAAAGGAAGTGAAGACCAGCACAATGTCCTCCCTGTGGTACAGATCATAGACATTTATAAAGAGTAAACCCCGCAT